GGTTTATAGGATAAATATTTGTTGGCACCATTACATTGGTAAGATCACTAGAAGCTGAGATACTTTCCCTTAATTAGGTGGAGGAATTGCGTTTACTTCAGCTGGTCTCTCGTTTACTGTCATCATCACCAATGGAAATGTCAAGGAAAGTTCCCAAAGGAACCTGTCATAAGAGAAAGGATTGCATTCTGAGAACTTTTATGAGAATTCTTATAAAGTACATCCGAAATAGATGAGAAGAATAATCTAGGAGCAAACACACAACAATATCAAGAATCAATTTGTAAAATCCTGTCATAGGAAAAGGCAATTTGATGTTAGGTTACAATTCAATTTTGCTATGGTCCAAAAGTTATCTGAATGTCTATATTAAACATGTGGGGCATGGAAAATACTTGGCTGTTGTGTTATTTTTATTTATTTTTTTATTTTTGTCGGTCATGGGGCTTGAACTCTGGGCTTGGGGGCTGTCCCTCAGCTCTTCAGCTCAAGGCGAGCGCTCTACCACTTGAGCTACAGCGCCACTTCTGACTTTTGTGTTTTGAAGCTAAACAGAAAGACAAAGTTTAGAGACCATGGTAACCTCTTAGCATGGCTTGCTTTGCTGTCCCAGTCTTGATTTACTTTATGGAAGTGACATAGAACTCTATTTTATATGCCTTGCCATAACAACATGTATACTGAATGACAAAGATACAACTATTTCATCTCTGTGATCTGTATTATGGTAATATTTAAAATAATAACTTTAACCTTGAGAGTAACTCAATGAGTTTAATGTTTCTGTTTAGGACATACTTTAAAGTTTTTATTTGCTATCTCTATGACCTATCTAATATTAATTAAAACAATCAAATGAAAACCAAACAGATTAAGATTCTAGGGGTCTGGAAGGAGGCATGGCATGGCTCTACATTGAAATCTATTTCCGTTTGAAAACTAAATTTCAGACATTGTGATATGCATTGACTAATGCATGATGATACATTAATTATACATCAGTTCAGTATTTAGGATAGCATGAATTGTTACCTAGTTAACAAATAAAATTACTTTTTCTAGGAAAGAATTTGTGAAAACACAGCACCAGAACTTGATCCTGTATTTCCAAAATGTAAATCTAGTAATTGATGAAATGTCATATCTCCAGCCCCTCTTTCCTAATTTTAATATGCATTTTACCTTGGTTGACAAGAATTAAATTCATAATGTATAAAATACCAACAGACATAACTGTTCTGAGATATAGCATTCCTCCAGAATACCCTCTACTATAATGAAGTTTAAATAGAAAAATTATTTCAAATAATTCATCTACCCTCCCCAACCTGTCATACAGCAGGAGTTCTCTACATTCTTGGCATCATCATTCCTAAATAAATCTCCCTCACATAGGAATTCTTCCACCAATGCAACAAAACCAGCCAACTTCTAAACACTTTCCCACAATCTGTTCCTCAAATACGCTTCAGATTGTTCCTTCTCAATATTTACATAAATGTGAACGATGACACAAACGTTTAGTATTCACAGAGAGGATTTACTTCTCTTCTTGATACTGAAAGAACAAGGTGCAATCACAGGGAAAGGTAACCAGGCACTAGCTGCTACCCCCTTTCTGGGAGAAGTGATGAGAAAATAAAATGATACACCCTTGTTAGTTTCCACATTCAGACTCAAGACTCTCAGAAAGGAAGCGCCTGGAGGCTGAGCCATGGATTCTGCTCCGCTGGGGTTTCTGTGGGGCTGTAGAACCCTTGCTTTCTGCTCCTGACTGAAAAGCAGAAGAGTCCTCCAGGGAAAGGTTTTCTTCTCCCAGGGCTCAACCTTGTTGGCTCAGCAGAGCAACTGGGCCTTTAGATACCTCACATGCCTCTCTCTGATGGGAGGAAGAGACAAAGCAATTGTCTTTTTTAAAATTTCCATTCTTATTCCCAGTAGGACACACAGTTAGGAACAGACCTTCACAGAGCGAGCGTATCTGAGACAATAGCTGTCATTAGAGTTCTAAATGCATGGCCATGATCTGAATTTCATAACTCCAAATGAGGGGTGGAGATGCGGTGGGTGCTGATTAGGGAAGCCTGGGGCAGATGGTGATGGTCAGTGTCCCTAGGGACTTATGATGACCTGTCATAAGTGGCCATTCCCCTAGCGCACACCTTCCCTTATCCTCCATGCCAGTCAGGCTGAGGAAGGATTCTCTGGTTTCAGTTTTGGAAGGGAAACATGCTGAATTTAGCTTTTTGTCTTTTTGATTGAACGGTTTTGTCTTAAGTGTGGGGGAGGGCTCTTGAGAGACCACAGCCTTAACTGCTCCCCTCCAGCATTAACATCGTAATATGTGGGCTTTTGATGTGCCCAGAATATGCACATCTGCAAGATACGAGATACCTAGTAACAGAAGGCCTGGCCCCCTCATTTTAGATCGGCCCTGTCAGAATTCATATTTCTGCAGCCTCCCTCAAATAAGTCTCTGGCAGAAATCATATCCTACAGTGAGGATCTGCGGTTTGCACTTGCTGACAAGAGTAAAGATTAGGCCTTTCCAGTCAGTGACAGCTATGTCCACGGCACACACCAGAGACAGTATGAGCCCAATGACAGGGCTCAGAATCATATAAATCTACCCAGAGTTCCATTGCTATCCTTTTCAGTGGTCAAATCCTCCACTTTCCACCCTCTCACAGAAAACAAGGGAATGAATACCTTGTACATGGCCACTTGGCTAGCAAAAACATGGTTATGGCACATCATAGCTGTAGGGTTTAGCAATTTGGCACACTCCTTTTGAGTGACCCACACTCTCTATCCTCTATGTGTCAGAAAGTAATATGTGCCCTCACCATTTTTTATATTCAGTACTAAATGCCTCCTCTGAAAACGTCTGCCATTCCTCCATGCTCATTGTGAATGAAAATAAATTTGTAACTCAGTGAGAAGTATTTAGGAAAATTAACCCAGAAGAATTTTTTTACAAGGGTTAGTCCATCTACAACGGTATAGAAATATAGAAACAGGATGACTGCTGGTGCTATAATTAAGAGGAATTGACAGCATCAAAAATTCAAGGGGTATATTTTTTTCACCTAAAGACTGTAACATGAAATATGTAGCATGTAACTGAAATATGGTGTGTATGTGTGTGTGTGTGTGTGTGTGTGTGTGTATGTGTGTGTCACTGAGGGCTGTTTTTAGAGAAAACGCTATAAAGAAACAACAGTACTGTTCCACTCAGTTGGTGAGACACCAGTGTGAAATGGCTTCATCTCTCTTGTGTTCCACTGATATTTGCCTCTCTAGCTCCTTGCTGTGGTCCCCTTCCAGAGCCTCCTAGATGTTCACAGTAACACTTCTTTCCTGTGAACACATCCACTTTTTCCACTTTTTCATTCTAGTCAAGATGCTTGTCTTACAAGCTGTAGATCCTTTTCTGTGTCATAAAGACGCTTCACATGATTAGTTCTGTGTATTAGCTGGACTAAATCTCCATGATCAATGAGAATGACCTTTGTTTTCCACTCCCTGTTGGTGTTCCTATAAATTCTGTGACTTTTCCCATAGGAGTCACTCTTGAGGATCATCAAAAGTCATTTGTGATCTCCAATTACCAGGCTATTAAAAATTTTCCTTCACATTCTATCTTGGGAAACCTACTCATGTTCTTTTTTGTAACACCAATATTGATACACAACTGTACATCGTAGTTAAATGTAGAGGGATTGAGAACTACACTGTCTCCATAACAGTCAAATATCTATTAATTCTTTACATGCACATATATTAAATAAATAAATACACTTACCAAAATAGGTGTTCTTCAAGAATTTGTTAGGTTGATTATAGGAAATGGACCACATAACGTCCCTTAGGCCACTTGGTATGTGATTAAAAATATTCCATTTTACTACCAAAATCAGTTTGATTTTGGATTCATATGCCTGTCTAATTAAGAGTTGGGTTGACTTCTTGTTAAGGTCCAAATGTAGGGCATACTTTCTTTAAAACAAATCGGAAGTTTGTTCTTATGATGGCACTAAGAATGTTATCTGGAAGTGAGTGACCACCCCTATCTTAGGGTAATTTAAAAAGTGGGTTTTATAAGTAACATTTTGACATAGGACCTAAAATATATAGGGAATTACTCTAATATTTGGTTGTCAAGTAGTCTGAATCAGCAAAAATCAATCCACAAACAGTTCGATACCAAGCTCCATACCAAAATTCACAATTAATCTTTCCTATTTCAGGGACAGGACGTTCATTGGTAAGAAATAATGCAATCTGGTTAATAAAATTAGAAGCTCTCTTGGAAAGATGCAAGAAAACAACACATAGACATATGGTCCTAAATCTACCCAGAGATTTCTCAGACACTCATTTTCAGGCTATTCAAGGAGAGAATGCCCAGCTTTCCCTCTTTGTTAGATAACAACTAATCAATACACTGCTGAATTTGTAACTTGTAATTACGCTTTTCAGGCTCTCCACTAAGCCTACAAATTAAACTCATTAACATGAGTTGATGATTTTCATATAAAATGTATTCATATATGCAGCACAAAGAGTTGAATATGTCTAAGCAATTCTTGGATCAGGCAAGTGCAATTTTGGGTAATGGACAATTATGTAGCTGGGGTTGTATTATTATTAGTAATTATTATTATTCCTTCCAAAGCTTACATGTTTTCAGTAAGTTTAAAGTTTAAAAAGATTGCTGAAATATCTTCAATTTTTACACTTAGCAACTGAATTCAAATATTAATTTCATAGCTGTGCAATTGAAGAAAAACTACAAAATCGTATTTGATAAACTTGTATCTCATAGAAAGTAAGTAGACTGAACACATTAAAATTTACTCCTGCTTAATGAAGAGAGAAGGACATGCTTGTGTCATAAAAAGCACAGATAAGATGAGAGTGGCCATGCAATTTAGTGGAATCTAGCAGTAACTGGGCACTAAGATGGCAGGCGACTACTGAGTGTTGATGGTCAAATGTCACAGGTGGGAAAGAATTTCCTTGCACAGCGCCCTCTTCAGGGCACCCTTGACCTCTGCGTTCCTCAGGCTGTAGATCAGGGGATTCATCATGGGGTTGAAAAAAGTATAAAAGAGAAAAATGATCTTCTGCTGCTCCTCAGGATGGCGGGACTTGGGGGCCATGTACGTGATGATGGCGCTGCCAAAGAAGAGACCCACCACGCAGAGGTGGGAGGAGCAGGTGGAGAAGGCCTTCCTGCGGCCTTCCCCCGACCCGATCCGCAGGATGGCCAGCAGGATGCGCGTATAGGAGACCAGCACCAGGCACAGGGGACCCACCAAGATGAACACAGAAGCTGTAAAGATGACTACCACATTGAGCCTGGTGTCCGCGCAGGCCAGCTTGAGCACTGAGAGGATTTCACAGAAGAAGTGGTTGATCTCATGAGGCCCACAGAAGGGCAGCCTCACGATGAGAATGACATGAACCAGGGCTAAGAGGGAGCCACATGTCCAGGAAGTGATAGCCAGGAAAATACAGAGTCTCCAGCTCATGATGACAGTGTATCGCAGTGGGTGGCAGATGGCCACGTACCGATCATAGGACATCATCACCAAAAGGAGACATTCTATGTGTCCGAATGTCAGAAACAGAAATGTCTGTGTTATGCATCTAGCAAAGGAGATGGGCTTGGTTGGGTCCAGGAGGTTCACCAGTATCTGGGGCACCATATTGCAGACATAGGAGATGTCCACGATGGCCAGGTGGGAGAGGAAGAAGTACATGGGGTTGTGCAGTCTGGGGTCTAGACAGATGAGCCCCAGGATGACGCCATTGCCCAGTAAAGTGATTGTATAGAAGAGAGAAAAGGCCAAAAAGGACTATATGAATCTTTAGACCAAGACCAAATCCCAGAAGGATGAATTCTGTGACCATTGTCTGATTTTCCTCCATTTCACTATGAAAGAGAGAATCAGATAACTATAACATACAGTTCTCTGAAAGCACCCAACTCTTTAAACAAAATATATTTTGTTTATTATAGTGCTGATTTCAGGAATGTTAGAGACTATTGCATTTGTTACTAAAGTCTTTGTTGGTGATTTTAATTAACAATGAAATATTACTTAATAGAAATTTAAATTACACATCTGTCCATAACCTAAATGGTTTAGGGACAGAAATATATCAGCAGTGATTAGTTCCTTACCACTATTGACATGGATGCAATGAATTACTAATAAATGCAAACAAACAAAATAATCAAGGCACGTAATTTCTCTCAGGGATTCTCACATGCAAGTTTGTAAAAGAATTAGTACTATCATTGATAAGTGAGTGATAAAGAACTTGGTCTATAAATTGCTTGTATGTAAAATTGATCAGTTTGTCTTTTGACCCAGGATTGCAATTTCTTCAGTGCATCACATTGAAATCCATTGTGATTTCTAGTGTAAACACTGATGTGTCATTAAGGGGGAAAAAAATTCACCTGGGCTTCGCTACCTTCCCACAATTTGTGGGAGAAATGGCACTGGAGTTGGCCAGCATTTAGTTTACTGTCGTTAGAACCCATGAAAATGTCAACAAATGCATGTATTAAGAGATGTGATTGCATTTTGAGGAAGACACTCCTATAACCTGTATACTACTAATGAACGTAACAACTTACAGGTAGAAATGACTTACTATTGAGAAAGTTATGACTGGAGAATTTGGTGGGCTTTTGATACAATCTTGAGTTAAGGGCAGCAGAATTTGGCTAGCAAGATGAACTCAAATGCAGTTAGTTTTATGAGGTTGCTATGTGGAGAAAGAGTAGGAAAAGATGGATAGAAGTCAACTTGGATTATAGAGGGTGGTGTAGCACTTGGTTATACACATCACGCCCTTCAGAGGAATGAAAAGAGGAAAGCAAGGAGCTAGCACAAGAATCCTGGCATGTGATGAATGAATATCTATGTCCAGAGAGATGGTTTGGGGGAATAGTAATCATTGGGGGAATAGTAAAATTACCCAGGAGGACCGCCGATTACATTCTTCTTACTCTGATTCCATGTTCTCAAATCACCCACCAATTCCTTTCCTTGAGCAGATATTCTACAAAGAAGGAATGGAACAATTAGAAAAATTCTTTGCTTCTTTTTCACTTAGATTTTAAAGAAATGGACATTTGGATATTTTGGTTTATGCATAGTCATAATTGTGCTTTTAGATAGCATGATGAAGTTCCTAAACAAAATTTCCAAAGTTGGATGCAAAGGTGAGGAACCAATGAAGATAAATGGAAGCCCATTTTAGCAAAGAAACAAATTCCTTCCTACCAAGTGAGATGCCTGCTTTTATATGCGTTATTGATAAATGATCAGATCATCTTCACATGAAAATAATCATATATATGTATATGTATTTATAAGCTCTTCTCACATGACAGATTAATTTGATGCTAGGTTATTATTAAAATTTCTGTAGTTAGATACTGTCTCTAATTTCAAACACAAAAACATAGGACAATATTTGGCTGTGAATTTTGAGAGCTAAGTGGAAAGACACATAAAATGGTCAAAGTTCATTAGTATATATATTTAGCATGGCAACCTATTGTTTCACTATTGATTCATTTAAAAAACCTTCATTTCTTTCACATTATCATCAAGTAATACATATTTCCTTAATGACAAATACATAGAAAACATAAACAAACACTGAGATATTGTTGTTGCAGCTGATCCAGTTTCTTGAAAATATAGTCTACTATAATTATGCCAAGCTCAACAACTTCCTCCCAAAGGAAATAATTACTATGATTCAGAAAATTTCTGTCTGTTAAAAATTAAGATCTTTATAATTTGATGAGAAAACCTGAAGGATTCACAAGGCATGAAACACTTGAATTGAAGAATAACTACTCTTGTTTCTATTCCTTGGAGTTCATTTCAATATAAATCAGTTTATATGTGATCCTCTCCTTAGAATATCCTCCTTTGGTCTCACTGGGAGAATGTCAAGAGTCCTGTATAATTTATCATGTCCAAATGTATTTTTTTTGTCTTTACCATCCAGTGTGTTTACTTGTAGATTTATAGGCATATTCTAGTTACAAGAAGGTTTTGGTTAGTTGTTTTTTTCTTTGTCGCTGTTTTTAGTTTCTATGCCTTTTGTCTTGTATGTCAGTTTATCTGTTTGGGGGAGGGGGAGAGGGAGCACACAATGCTGAGACAAACGGTGAACACATGCGGCAGCGATACTCACTAGACACTATGTTGGAAATGAACTATACAACTCGTGGGGGGGGGACTCAGAGAAAACAAGGGAGGGGGTGACACTGTCAACAAGAAATGTGCTCTATACCTGACTTACCTAGCTGTAACCCCTCTGTACATCACCTTTAAAGTAACAATAAAACAGAATCACTACTCTTACATATTTATTTAGTTTTATTTGATATCAATCTGGCATAGACAATTATGTGTTAATCAAAGGAAAACCAAACCGATTTTTTATTTTTCAGAAGGTGGAAGGAGGTTAAAAGGTGACTCCCCACCGAGCTAGATTGCAGTTCAGTTTTCGAAAAGTGGATTTCAGGCAGTGTGATGTTCTTTAATGTTCGTATGTACGTAGGTATGGCTTCAGAAGCTAAAATATGGCAAATTAGTATCTATAAATTTGCTAAGGAAGAAGCCATTTTTAGAAGATAAAAACCTGCCCTTGTGAAAGTCTCATCATCAATGCTTGCTTCATGAGCAAAGGATCAGAAAAAATAAGGTAGACACTGAATATAAACATCCTCTTAAATTTAGAGAACTATGTCGTGTTTTTCATACTTCACTGGACTGACTTCCAACACCGCCTTCTCCTCATCTTTCCATCCTCATCTCAAAGATTCACCCTGCAAACTGCAGACAATCTAACATGAACACCTGTTTATTAAGTACAGTCCTGATGCCCGAGAATTGTCTTTAATGTTATTCTCATTGAAAAAAAGAAGACTAAGTTTACGTATTATTCATTTAGCTTCATGTTTCTTGAAAACATATTTCTTCTTAAATTTAGCAAATATTTGGGCATACTTAGGAAGAATTAAATTCATCATTTACAAAAGAATGAGTTTTTGTAATTTCCTGAAGATGTAACATTATATCCTAACATACACTCCTGGAATTACCATTAAATAGGAAAAACGATTTCATGGATGGCTTCCAAATCCAAAACACAAATTCCTTATCATTTTTAGCATCAGCATTCATGAACAAATGTGTGTTATAGGGATATTTCTGCACAGGAGAAGGAACAGTAACCCAATGTTAAATATTTGATGTGTCTGTCCAGTGTGCCACTAATGCCACTAATTTTTCCAAAACTATTCATGTGAAGATATGGATGGTGAGGAAATACGCTTAGCATTAACAGAATTTATATCTTTTCCCGATCCTAAAGTAAACCAAAGCAGTCACAGTGAAAGTTCACCTAACACTAGTTGCTGAGGCCTTGGGGGGTGGAATGGATGGTAAAATAAAATGCAAGTGCCCGCCTTTGGACTCGAGGATCTCAGGAGGTACCTGCAGGCTGGGACATGGGGCTTCTTGTCCCCAGAGCTTCTGTGGAGCTGCCGAACCCAGGCTTGTGCTTGCCTGCCAGGCAGTAGCATCCAGAGGAAAGCTGTCTTCATTCCTGGAGACTCCACCAAGCCCTTTCAGGACCCCATGGAGAGGCTGGCTGGGCCCCGAGACACTGTGCGTGCCCAGCTCTGCCGGGAGGAAAAGACAAAGCGGCTGTCCTATTCTATGTCGACCTCACCTCCTGTCAGACACACGATTAGAAAACCCAGACACTCGCGAGGCACCCGGCTGCTCTCATTCTGGGTCTTGGCATCATCTGAATCCCGAGATTCACAGCCTGGCTGCCACCCCAAGCCCACTTGATGAGAGGCCAGTGAGGGTCGGCTCCGCGAAGGTCATTGTGACCTCTGCAGCCACCTCTGCGGCCTGGCTGCTGGTGATGCCAGGCGGGCCCCAGAGCAGCAGCAGAGCGAACAAGGCGCTCTGAAACCCATCGGATGGCCTGTGAGGCTCCACGGGTGTGGGAAAGCACGAGGCAGGGGTGGCGTGGGGATTATAAGATGGGCCAAGGCGTCCCGGTGGGGCTCATTAACACCTGCAGGAAGCAAGCTCTCCTAAGTCACAAACCTCTGTGGCAGGTCACCTTTTGGAAATCTTCATTCGCTGGGAAAGAGGAATGGTGCAGGATTCAGGGACCCTGCTCTCCTGGGAAGATTTCCCCAGGCAGCCCAGAGAGCCGGCTGCCGGTCCTGAGCTGTTGGCTGGTGTATTCTCCTCCTTTCCTTTTCTGTGTCTAAAGGAAAGTTAGGAACTCCATAGGAGCTCGTGGCAATACTGACACACTGAAGACATTATGTCAGTGCATGCTCTGACCATTCTGATAGCACAAAAACCCAGAGGACCTTCGGCCAGGCTACCCTGATAGGCCAGCATCTCACCTGTGCTCAGAGTGTGCATTTCCATGATGGGAAGAAATACACATTCCCTTAGAGAAGTCCCCTTCACCCCTCCCTGCCCCAAAAGTGCTCCCTGTCATATGCCAGGTAACCTGTAATCACTTTGTCTCACACCCAGGTGACCAGTCACAAACATAAGTAATCTTCCTGTGAAGCCTTAATAAAAATGCAATTCAACGGGGCTGGGAAGGTGGCTCAGTGGTAGAGCGCTTGCCTTGCATGCCTGAGGCCCTGGGTTCGATTCCTCAGCACCACATAAGCAAAAAGAAAAAAGCCAGAAGTGGCACTGTGGCTCAAGTGGTAGAGCGCTAGCCTTGAGTTGAAGAGCTGAGGGACAGCGCCCAGGCCCAGAGTTCAGGCCCCACGACCGGACCCAAAAAAAAAAAAAAATGCAATTCAGGAAACTTAAACAATTCTTCAGCCTCTGACAAAAAGCAAA